TTGTCACCATTCTGTCATGCATTCTTTAACATTATTTTTATACAACAATTCATACATCCATCTCTCATAGCTAATCTCTCCACTTCTCTTTTGTTCAAATTCTTCATAGTGGACTATAAATAGTTTGAAATGTATGAATTCGTTGCCAAGAGTATCATCTACGTCGTCGCGATAAGTTTTCACCAAGTTTTGGCTGGAAGACAAAATTTGTTGATCAGACATAGTTGTTAAATTTTTCATAAATCCAAATCGTGCATTTAGAAGTGAGTACGCGTCTTCTGAAGAGCGGTCATGAGCTGGTCGGCAAATGGAAGGTAGCTTTAAGTTCTAAATTTGTCCGAGGGTGACAACTGAACTTCCAAAACTTGCGGGCATTCTAAAGTGGACAACCGGACGTTTCTTTTTGTTTTTCTCCATTTTTCTTCTTCGTAGTTTCAGTAATCAACTAGCTCGAAAGCTTTTACTTCATATTCATTAAAACTGTCTCTTTTATTTTCAATGGTTGATTTTAATGAAGTAAGCAGTGTTCAAGTCCAACTTCGGATTTTGTAGGCTTTCGTTGACTTTGTTTATATGTCCCAAAATATCATCCCAAAAAACTGTATTTATAGCTGTTTCTAACTTTGCCATACCATCATGCAGACCGACAGCTGTTGCTCTTGATTTAGCTGTATCTTCTTCGTCCTTAATAATTTCTTTGAGGGCATTTATAAAACCTTTAGAGCCTCGGAAGAGTGCTTTAGTAGCTTTAACTTGACATGACCAGCGAGTTGTTGTCGTTCTTTTCGGCACAAGAATAGGTTGGTTGGTTTTTGCTTCTCTTGTTGTTAGTTGAAGCAGTAAAATATACATACAGCTCGTCTAAAAAATCAAAGAAACTTATTGCTCTTAGACAACAACTGTTGCCTTTTTTCAATAGATAGAGTAAGCGANCCTAAGTTTGAAGTCGAAATCAATAAAATTTCGAGATTGAAGTCGAAATTTTATAATGATGATTTTGTAAAATTTTGACTTAAATATCTGAAATTTTGTTAAATTCCGACTTTGAATTCGTAATTTAGTGATTTCCTTCACAAGACAGAAAAGTTGGAACCAACAAATAACAATTTTCTTGATACTAGTTTTTTATTATTTTACAATGGCTTCTTTGCCATTGTAAATACATTTCATATACATGTGTTCACAAAAATACCTACTTGTGTTGTAAATAATTTAAAAACTTTAGCTACAGCATTTCTCAAACAATCTAATAGTCCATCAAACGTTGGACAGTAGTATAATATGGGAATAGATGTAAATATAAAATATAACAGTTTGAAACATTAGACAACTAAAAATATAGGAGTGCACAAAAACTTAAATCGCTATAAATACAGAGCATTTAAAATGGAATGTATTTCAAGTTTGAGAATTTGGGGCTTGCTTAGCGAAGTTATATTTGAATTTAAAAAGAGATCCATCTTCAAGTAACACATTTTCAAGAGATTTATACACAGTTTACGAAACCGCAACCTGTGTTTCACTATACAATACATTCCTTAGGCTTGTACATGACGACTAAATATTAACGATTTAGTATGTACAAGCCATACTGACTGAATTCTACGAATTTAGTATATACACCCCTGAGGAAGTTATTGTATGGTGAAACACGTGTGGTAGTTTTATAATCTGCTCACTGGAAAAACAAATAAAATTTAAAACTCAAATAAATAGCTGAAAATAACAATTATATCAAGCAAAAAAATCCTTAAATGAAATTACAAAAAAATGAAAATTAAGTAGAAAATTCTACAATTGAAATGAATTAAAAATTTAAAGATTTCAAGCTACGTTACTTCACGACGTTTCGGTTGTTAGTATCCACAATTGTTTTCGGGTGACCACTGGACTATTCCTCCGAGAGATGACTATTTATAGGTCATTCAAGTGCTTTCACATATTTCTCTGTTATTTACAAGTAACTAAATGAACACAAAAGGTTTAAAGAACAAACACTGCATTTAAAAGTCATAAGAGATCACTAATATTGATGATATATTACTTAATATTCCTATATATAATAATTTTGACATCATAGCGAGAAGCGCTTACTGCGCAACCTCTGCTGCAGGCAAACAGGGATGCAATTGAACCCAGGTTTGTGTTTAATAAACTCTACAAAATATAAATAAAACAGAGCACTGAGTCAGATGCTACAGATGCAGTATGCATATATACAGACGGCTCAAAAACCAAAGAAGGCTCAGGATGTGGAGTGTACTCCAGATCACTAAGCCTGAGGATTAAATAGGGAATTGGAAAAAAAACCAGCCTGGTTCAAACATTACTGGCTGGTATCTCAATCGCAACAAAAAAAATAACCAGAAAAGGAATTTCTGGGGAAAACATAACAATCTGCACTTATAGCAGAAAAGTCCTATTAATGAATCGAAGAGGTTTTGTATTAAAGTGTATAATATTTTAAAATTCTTGCAAAGCGCTTTCGACTTTCGTCAAGTCATTAATTCAAATAAGTGTANATGATAATTTCAATATTTCATTAGCATTCATTCTATTTTTTCTTTCACAGAGTTCTAATCTGTTAACACAATTTTAGACTATGTAAAATCGAACCTGCAATATTCACCAAAAACATTTTCAAGTGCTTTCTAACAAACTAAGATATCAGTATTAGATGAGTCAGTTCAACTAAATTGTTTCAAAATGCATACAAAATCAACTAGTTAACAATCAAAATTATAACAACAAATTATTTGCAAATGAATCTATAAGATGGCTGTAGAAAATAAGAAAAAATATAAACATTGAAATCACAATTTTGCAATTTTGAATTAAATGAATAGTTAATTTGTTTTCTAATGAAAAAAACTACAAAGTTTAAATGCTTCTAAAGAACAAATATTTTTTCAATCAAAATTTTGATTGTGTGATACATCAGTGAAACTATCTCTAAAAAAGCTAACATATGATGAGTGATTCTTTCCAATCCACATAAAAAAGTAAAATTAGTGACGGTTTTTCTTCGACGAAATGTTGAATTAAAAATCTGTAAACACCTTCTTGTATGGCGGAAAAAGTAGGAACAAAAAAAATTTTGTTTTTTCATATCTCCTTAAATAACGTAACAAAAAAACGTAATGAAATTGTGCAATTTTGGTTATCTCTGATTGAACTGATTTTGTATATCTCACGGTTTACAATTTCCTTATACTGACCCTCCTCATCATAGTATATACATTTGGCTATTTTATCAATGGACCACTGAAACTCCACAATTAAAAAAACTATTTTGTTCATATCATATGGACACTCAGTAGCAAAAACATTTTTGTTCTCACTTTGTTCGACAGAAAATCAAAAAATGTTTTTGAACATAATATTTGGTTCGCCCTAATTTGATAATTTTATTTGTTTTCAAAATTAAAACATAAAAAGTTTGTAAGAACGTATCCAGATCCATTAGGGATGTGCAGTTTAGCTCAGGCTCTACCTAAACATGAATTTGACAGTGGGGTAAGCTCACGCATAAACCAGATCAATAAAAAAATTCAACATGTGCAACTATTTTTGATCACAAATATTTGTTGAACAATTGATACTTTTATAAAAATTCACTACAATACCACATTGATATTGGAAGTATAGTTGAAAATTAATGAAACAATAAAAATGAGTCCAAAGTTTTACCCATCAGGTTGTTTCAAAAGTTTTGTACATTTTAATGTCATATGTTTTTGTAGCTCCGCTCAATACATATGTAATGTTGTAAATCATGCCCGAAAGAAAATAACTTCGGCCGCCACTGGTAACCATAAACCAAACGTGACGTAGCTAAGAGCGCGCGAATGTACGATGATTCCCCGCCACTCTAGAGGCAGCGAGAATAATGCTACGAACTTCAGTGAAATTTCTAAGGCATTCGATTAAGATATTAAAAGGCTAGCCTCGAGGATGTCGAAACAGTCAAGTGGACGTTACAGTGCGGTACGCGAGGTGATCTAGTAAGGCGATAGACATTCAAATAATAGTTGAAGTTTAGTTGAAGTGTTTGTTGTATTTAAAATGAAATAAAGTTAAGTTTGATTATTCACTGTAGTCAATTATTGTCAACCCACGGGGAAAAACGTAACCTTATTCTTATTTGTCGAATTCAAACTGAACCAAAGCGCTGCTGAAACAGCCTGAAAAATTTACCAGGCATTTGGCAATAGAGTGTTGATGAACGCACTGTTCGACGTTGGTTTGCAAAAAGTCGTTCCGGAGATTTTTGCCTCCAAGATAAGCCCTTAAGTGGCCGACCTACAGTAATCCAGGACGTGGATTTGAGGACCCTGGTGAAGAATGACCCATCACAAACGGTGTGTGTCATGATGGAAGAACTGGATGCCATCGGCTATCATCTTTTCAACCACTTCGGTACAACCGTCGCCAATCAGGGCCAGGCAAAAACTGCTTTCGTCGACTTCGTCGCAGCCCGTGCAACCAATTTTTATGCTGGTAAAATTAATCGACTGGTGTTACGTTTACAAAAGTGCACTGATTCAGATGGCGCTTATTCATTGAGATATTAGTTTCAAGAAGACTCCTAAAATGGAAAAAACTTTCAAAACAGCCTAATAGAAAACGAAACTGTTTCAGTAGTTTATGAGATATAGATTATTATGGATAATTCTCATTATTTTAATATATATAAAAATGAATTTCAAAATTGGTAGAAAAGTTATAAGAAAATATATGACTTCTACCCTTAAATTTAGTTTCTGATGATGATGTAATCAAACATTTAAGAGAAGTCTTCACAAGAAAACACTTCTCAAATTTTTTTAAGTAATTGACTGCCTACTTCAGTTCAAAACTGATATACACTGGAAAGTTATTATGGAATGTCAACAATTCACCCGCCATTGAAATATGGTATCACATATCTATAAAATTCGCAACCGCGACACCTGTTCTGCTATACAATAACTTCCTCAAGTGTAAACTAGTTTACAATGAACTGTATTAGTTTCTTTATTGTTTGATTCAGACAGATTTCACATAATTTGACCAATACTTAAAAAAAGCTTGTATGAAATGGTATGAAATACTCAAAACATTCATCTTGAAAGCTTCAAAATTCATATACAACATTGTTACAGGTGATAAAACGTCGATAATACCAACAAAAGTTGTGTTCTCACAAAGCATTTACTGGACTAATCACTACCATTCTTTTAGATAAAACTAGGAAATCAACCTACAACATCACATAATTCACCATGATATCAAGCCAGGAAAACAATTGCTGCCAAAGCCTTCTGGAATAATGTATTTTGAAAATTGATGCGAACTGATACTCAGAAGGTCACCCTTGTAGACATGCTCAATCCAATACATTTCAGCCCAATAAATGCTTTTGGCTAAATAGTAGTCCTCTTTGAAATACTGTCAAACCCAATTCATTTTTCTTTAATCTCAACCAGACTTTTGTCTAGAACCGGTACAAATTTCAATAATTTAGCATAGCTTTTAATCAGCTGCTTCCAATAGCAACTGACATGCGACAGTTTCAAATTATTCCAAATCATACTGTACCCGTTCTCGGCAATTTCTTTCGCTACCTCATCGTGGTACATTGCGAATTCAATGAGTTCTCGGATTTTCTCTTTACTAGAATTAGCTTCTACGGGAATGTAATGAACCCAAGGTTTCAGAGCGGGGTAGAAAAACTCCTGCCATTCATTTCCTACGTGGAACACTAGGGATTTACACAGGAGGATGTGTTTGAATCGGAAGCTAGCAGCAACGCCACGGAAGTTGAAAAGGTACTTGTATTTGCAATGATCCTCAAAATTACGCAAGCGAAACCATATAAAAACACCACAAGAAGAACCTAACATCAGTTACACCTCTCGAAGCGAAGCAGTAACTTGTCTTGATAATGCCATGAGATGATGGCGAAACGTCGACTATCGTCGACGTAAGTACTTTCTGATCATTCCCATATTGATTTCAATTTAAGAGCCACCGGTATACAGCCGTTTCAGCCTATTGGGCATCGTTAGTACCGGGCAGGCGGTCCTCGATTGAAGACAAAATGTGAAAAACCACAAAAGTACTTGATAAAAATAGCTGCGTAAACACAAGTGAAACATAAGTGGAACCACCAATTGGTGTGACACCCAAGTCAACTTGCCAAGTTTATACCGGTAGGTGTCACAAAAGTACTTGATAAAAATAGCTGCGTAAACACAAGTGAAACACAAGTGGAACCACCTATTGGTGTCAACTTGGCAAGTTGACTTGGGTTTATATATATTTACCAGTATTTGGGTTACATGTGTTGGATTTTTTCTAGGTTCACTGTTTCTAGGTATGTGTATTGTTTTGTGAAATATATTGAATGTTAGGTCTTGTTGTGTTTTGATTTGTATTTGTTCCTCCATAAGTGAATTATGACAATAACCTAAGTTTGAATTACATATAACTGCTTTGCAATAAATGTCAAGAGCTCGGATTATCTGCAGCATTGACTGCCTACTATTCAATCATCAAGACTTAGTTACGTTATGAGATATTATTCTGAGGCTTGGCAATTGGGTGCTATTGAAAATTGTATTAATCTTACAGATATGAGCCCTGAGAAGTATGCATGAAGTAAACTTTTAAGTTGGTCAACGGAAAAACAGGTTTTAACAGATACTTCAACAGACCATTTCTTAAAAACAATAAGATCTTGAATATCTCAATATTTTTCTGTACGGAGTTCACTTACTGCATCTGACTTCCACGCTTGATTTTTTGTATATTTGGCATCAACAATCGATGAATTTTCTCGAGACAAAAGTACAAGAGGATCTCTTTCAGCACTTGTTCGTGATCCTCTGAAAAATGCCTTTGGTATCTTTTCGAACCAAGATGAAGAATTACCAATTGTTCCTAGTTTCTTCCTATGATTATCCCATCTACCTAAAATAATTTGGAGGAAATTAATATTTCCATAATCTCAATCATGAAGAGATGTCAAAGAAACTGAAGCAAATCAAGTTTTGCAATTTTTCAAAACTTTCAAAGTAGGAGTCCAATTGAATTGTTTTTTTATTTTATAGTCAGTTGTTGGCATTGCCACACTCGACTTGAAAGTGCCTTATCAAGTCAGTGGTGTGGTTTCTTTTTCTTGAAAAACAAAAATTTTAATGCTATGTGGATTTTACCATTAGCCGAGTGTAATTAGTTTTTTTGATCATACTTTTAAAGTAAACCCCCCTTTTTTCATTACGGTTTTTGAACTATATTTCTATCTAAACTGGTTGGAAACTTATAGCCTATTGAATGAAGCTATAGTTTGAATCAATGTCTGACACAAAAATTAAAATTATCTGATAAGAAACCATCTGAGTATTTATAGAATGAACTAAGGCGGTACATAAGGTCTTGTCAGACTGCTCCACAAAATGTTGCTCTTGTTGTGGAATAGAACAACATTCCCTAAAAAATGATTGGAACCTCATCAAAATAAAATTGCCAAATTTTTTGAAGTACATTTTTGGAAAATGATGAATTGATATGTGTTAAACCTCCATCTTTCTAATCAACTGAGATAGAAATATGATTCTAAAACCAACCCGTAAAAGGAAGTTTACTCATTAAATTAATTATTTGAGAAAACAACACACTATTACATGAAATGGAGAATAAATGTAATCAGATTTTACAGTTAGAAATCAGGAAGTTTCAAAAATAGCAAAATTTTTGATGGACCAGTTTTTTTTAACTGTCAGTGTATATGAGGATTTGAATCTATTGACATGAAGGAGGAAATCTGTGAGATGTAGAAAATTCACCTATTCCTCTCGGATACAAGCTAATAGCTGGACCTCCTTCCCAAAATGACCAAGCTGGATACATAATATCGTAGTAGTCAGATGTTTTACTGAAGGAAAAAACAGGTCCAAATATACCATAATTTTTGTGAATTTGAGGCCAATCTCTGGTGTTCACAATGAACTCAACATCTGGTAACTTGGGTAATAGTTTCAGTAAAAAATATTCAATTCCTGCACAACGAGCGGGAAACATGCAGTTTTTTTCACGGAAGAGACGATTTCCTATTATTTGATATTTGGTACCCCTAAAAAACCATTGATTATAGAACAATTGAAAATTTACCGAATAAATAAAATTAAATACATAAATGAATGTACAAAAATAGTCAGAATAGAACTTTCCAATTTTCAGTATTCACCGAGGTATACACATACATATACAGTTACACAATATAATAAATTAAATTTACTATAGTCTATACACATGTCACTAGGTACATTTTTAGTATCCGCTTAAAATTTTGGTGAGTAGATAAAAAAATCAGTTCAGAACTATTGGGTAACAGTAAATCAGAATACTTCATAAGCGGAATCATAAAGTTATCTTTGAACTTGGTAATTTAGCATGAATAGAATATCTTCATATAAAATCATCTTTGTTCTTGAATATATGAATGCATTCTAAAAAAAACATAAAATGCAGGAAGAGTTCAATCTTTTGAATAATTTCCCACAGCTTTGTGTGCCTGAAATGCGAGGACTTTTTTTGAATGAAAAAAAACATTGTGTGCTTGTATGGATCAACAAAACTCACCTAAAATCTCAATCTTGACTCAAACAACCTATAGTAAACATTTAGTAGTTTTCAAACAAATAGTTTTGTGAATTTAGGGTATTAAAAAGCTATCACAGTAAGTGAATGTATGTCAATCAACGTATGTATATCAAAAAACTTGATAATTGAATTTTGTGTCACTAGATTGTTGGATTTAGCTGTCCTGAACTTTGACTCTTTCAGAATCAGAAATTTTTCAAGTATTGAGATAAAGTAAGTTCAACTTTTCAAGAATATCATTGCACTTATTAGTTTACTATTGGATTATTTATATCAGAAACAATTTCAGATGCATCATCAGTTAAATAACTTACATTTCTAATTCAAATTATTGTACAATATTGAGCAAGAAGACTTTAATTTTTATTCATATTTTATATTTGTCATTGATAATACTGACATATTGATATCGGTTTCTTAATAAATATTTTATCCGATTATTGGCAGCATTCTGCACTCCATAATTTTGTAAATTATGATCAAGAAAGCCTAATGCCCTGAGATCACTTGCATTATACCTACTTTGTTTTGACTCTTTCAAGATCCTCTTTGGATATTCCACTTTTGAAAACTTTCAAATCATCTGCAATAACATTTGTATGGCATGAGCATTTAGATTCATTGCAAGGGATGTATTCTCCCTTCGCTTCTTCCAGCAACTTTAAATAATGGAAATGCTTCGAATTTGCCCCTACAAGAAAATAATTGAAACATATATTTTCTTCGGAACTGTGTTCAGAACCATACCTTCTGAGTATTTGTTGAATTTCTCCAGGTGCTGTTTGTGGCAATTTTCATTTTTGTTTAGGCATGATTGGTTTTCAGAAGTTACTTCCAATACCGCGAAAATGAAATAAACAACTGCAAACAACGAATGAAACATGGTCAACGTTTAACATTTATTTATTTCATTGACAATTAGCATTATCACTTTCATAAAGTTTATAAAGAATTGAAAATTTTCATTACTCCAGTTAAACTTGTAAAAAGCACCTACGATTTGACAAACTGTATGACACAGAACAACAGATACAGAATCGTACACATTCAACAGAACAACTGTGACAGAAGACAGAACTGTGACAAAAGTCAGAAAATAATGTAATAGAACTGACCTAAAACCGTATCATCAGCGTAAAGGGAAACTTTTACGTGATTGAACCTAGGAAGGTCGCTCACATATAGGCTGTAAAGTAATGGAGACAGCACAGCCCCTGAGGCATTCCAGCTTGGATTTCCCTGACAGGGGACAGGGTTCCTTCTACTAGAACCTGAAATGTTTTGGTTTTCAGAAAGGACCTAATCCACCGAACCAGGAACATAAATTGGACTGTCTTTCTGTTATTTAACTCAGAGATGAAATTTTCGACCAATTTAAGGGCTTGCAGTTCAGTGGATAACTACGATGCTCGTATTTGACTCTGGTTTTATATTATTATTACCAAGCGTTGCTTGGTTTCTCTTTATCGCATTACCTGACCTTGTTTGTGTAGCTGTGAGGACAGGTGGCCAGATTTTACTGATTTCCATTGCCTCTTCTTTTCTATTCAAATTTTCTTTCTTTTTTTGAATTTTTGTTGCCTTTCTATATACTCTTGGATAGTAATTTTGTGTTTTATGGAGTATTTCTGATTTTCGAATGAGATATTGTGGGTGCCTTGAATCATGTTACCTTCAACTAATAACTTCACCCGAGTTCAGATAGAAACTAATTGAAAATTTAAAATACACAATAGAAAATGCACCAACTCTTTAAATGAACATGATAAACTATCAATTTCTATATTAAAAATCAGATTCGGAAAAGGAGAGAAGAATTTAATTCTATTTGGTCGGTCAGTAAATTGGTAGAATCCTTAAATCTTTTTATTTCTAAGCACCCCAAAAATGGTTCCAAACCTTTTTCTTCCAAATATAATACTTCATAGTCGTGGTTAAACTTATGCCCTTCTGTCTAAAGATGGTTTGCAAATGTGGAATTGGTCTTCACATTCAAGAAACTACTTTCATTCTTTGGTGAAGGAATATTTTAAGACAAGAAACATTGAGTTACCGTTTTGATATTATTGGGTAAGGCCAGGCAAGTAAAAAAATGAAGTGATTTAATATATTTTTGAAGTCATTTTTCATTTAAAAAATATAGTTTACTTATATTTCTCTTTTTAGGCAAGTTGAAATTATAAAAATTACAATAGTAATGAAGTTGTTTGAAGTGTCAAAGAAGTCCTCCGACTTAAGAGGATAATGACCAGATTTGAGTTGTATACATTACTAATTATTATTTTTGTTATATTGACATATTCTTTCGGTGAACAAATTTTAACTTATTTATAATTAAAATTACAATATACAATATATATGTAGAATTTTAGTTAAATAGTTTCATACAAAGTTTTGGACGACAGAAAAGTTTGGAAAATCAATCAAAGCTTAAGCAATAATGTTTATTATTTTCTGTCTAAATGAACAATAGATTCAATTAATATGTCCATTATGTACAACATCATACACACCCACCGTATACAAAAGTGGACTGACAGCAGCAAGTAGTAAGCCAGCCCCTAGCATTGGCCTATAAAGAATCCATGCAGTGGCAATTACGACTAGTGAGACTGATATTGCCAATAAGACGTTTCCAAGTGACATAGGGTCTCCAGTAATGAAACAGTCCAAAACTGGCATCTGAAAAACTACCAACAAACAAATGTATAGATGACAACTATTTTCAGAAGTATACATACATAATATTCGTAGAAGCTTGGCTAGACACACAGCTGAAGCATATAAAATAAAAACTCCCAGACCTCTCAATTTCCATGTTTCCAGACGAGCATCAAAATGTTCAGCTGAGAACATCTGATTAATGTTAAGGTTTCCGTGTCTCAGCAGAGCTATTTTGTGACCTTTTGATGATTCGTACGGTACCAGAACCCCATTCTCTTGTTTAGCAATGATGGTAACCTATTCACAATCGCAATTCATAATACAAAATATGTATATATATAATATAATTCTTCATCAAACATACCGCTTCTCCAGATGCCCCAGCATAATAAAATTGCACTCTTATATCTCCTACTTGTGGATTCCATATGTCATCGCAGTGGTAATAGATTCCCATATGTAATTTGACATCCCTCCGTTCAGGTCTTTCATCACTTGTTACTTCTATAAAATCATTGAACTTTTCTATGATATCATTTCCAACTTGTAGCTGTCCTAATCTCACATCAGAAGCCAAATATGTGATTGTTTTCAATGGAATATCTCTAAAAACGGCATTCTTGAAATGTTATTTTTATATATTATTAAATAAATAGTAGAATAAATGTTATTCATTTTATTTTTCATACCTGGGGTTTTCATGTCCATGTCTCACATAAAAACTGGAACTGTCAACCAGTCTATCTCTCCATTCTGTTATATAATAATAATCATTGATAGAATACTGTGCCCCTCCAATTGTTTCATCATCATCCCTTGGACTGAAATAAATACTTGTAATAATGATAATATGTAGATGAAGTGTTCTGTGATTTTTGTCCTATTTGTCCTAATTTTATTATAATATTTTTTATCCTGTGATAAAAATGAAATGAAAATACAAAAACAACACTGCTAATCGAATGATAAAAAATCTTCATCAAACCTTATGTAGCTTGTTCAAAATTGCCACATTCACGAATCAACTATTGACTGTTGTACCATTTTATTGTGATAGTTTGGTAGTTTGAGTAAAATATGTGAAGGTTTTTCAATTTCTTACGGACTTGACTGATACTCTATTGGAATCTTTGAAAAATACAACAGCCTTCATTAGATAAAGTATTTTTAAACACATTTAAGGAGTTTCAATTCAAAGAGTACATGCAGAAAAAAATTGCAATATCTGAGCCATAAAACTCAGATCAAGCGACAATAAGATGAGAGAACTGCTGAGCACTGTGGATATATTGTTTTATATATTGATGTTTCCAAACCATTCTTTAAGTTTTTATAAGAGGTGTTATTGTAATAAAACAAATGTAGTGTGTTGTGTAAGGTGTTACTTATTTTATTGGTTTGTATCGTTTTAGAATCATTCAACATGAGAAGAGAAAAGATTTATAGGGGACGTGCTGACATGAAATGAACATATATTTTGTTTCCATAGTTATGAATGTTGATAGTTCATATTTGTTTGATTTAATAAAACAATATTGGAAACTATTGGAGTTGTAATTAATGTAATACTTATTATACTGCATATAGAAAATACTACAAGACTATATTTGAAGTTTGGTAACTGCTCTCTGAGTTTAAAAATCTGTTTTTCCGTTAATCAGCTGTCGCCCCCATACGAACGACAACTCTCAGAAGTTGAGGAATTTGTGTGAGCTGAGGACTAACGAGGTTTCCTTTTAACGTGTGATTCCTAACACAGTGAGTGAAACATTCCAAGCAGGAAATCACAACAGAATTTTTATGTGATTTGATTTGAGTTTTGAGGTGATTATTGAGGATGTTGCCAAAATGTTTAGATAGCTTCTCAATTGAACAATCTTATGCATTTACATTTTATTATGCAATGCCTCTGTTCAAAGTATTATGAACTTTATTGTTCATATGAAAATATCTAAACAATGACAACGGTACCTCTCTGACCCAAGCAAAAGTTGATATCTTACGTTCTTTCCTCTACCCATTGATACATCTGTACCCGTCTTTTCAGTTTTACAGCTTGTATGGATATTCCATAATCGAACTCTGTTAATGGTTCATCAATCTTTAGGTTACCACTAATGTGCACCACTTTTCCATCATTGTTGTTATCGAGTTGGTCATAAGGACTCAAAATGATGGCATTATTGTAAGTTTCATCCAGAGAATGGGCATGATGAACAGCTCTACCCTAGAAAAACCCGTAATATTTATTTATGCACCCATCTCATAAGATTTTTTTACTAACCTCATTCCACGTTAGTAACCAAACGCCAAAGAAAAATAAGGAAATTCCTATCACAGAGGTTACCCAACTTCTTTGAAATTCGTCTAATAGTTGGGCCATTTCATTTTTTGAATTTTTGATTTTGGTAGTGCATTTTGTTATTGCTTTTGCAAAATTCGCGCATGTTCAGTTAATCAGAATCCAGGTAAGTAAATCTGGTAAATGTCACTGTCACTAGAGTCATATAGATGACTACACTAGCAATGCGACAGAGTGTAAATAATGGATGTTTTACATTTAACATTTAACTAAAGTGAGTACATACGTGTGACAAAATTTGTATCTACTAATACTCGCACACGTAGTTATTTTCGAATTCAATTATTTAATTTGTTATTCATAACCTCTCTCTCTGTTGTCATATTCATATTGATTAGTTCATTAAGTTTGTTGACAGACTAGTATTAGAAGAGTAGAAAATAGAAATTTTACACAAATGTTTTTTTTGCACGCATCAGAATTCTTTTTTTTTGAGGGTAGCCACTCTGGTACATATGGATCTAAAAAAATTACCACCATCAATGCAGAGTGCAGATGAACGAAACTATGGATAAAAGGCAGTTTTGACAATTCACTCAAAAATTCCTCATGAACCTGCATGTTTTTCAAAAAATGTATTAGATTCTTCATTTTGCACGTTATTTAGTTGATTTAGATAGTTTTTTTTTGAGTGAGTGAAGGAATGTTATAACCGTTCTTAAGCCGTATTTTCATGGACAGCAACCAGCAACCGCTGAACGCCAGTACCAGTGAAAATTTATGAGAGTTCCATTTGTTATTTTATCAGTGTTGTTTTTTCAAGTTCGTCGAGTTATTGTTAGATTTAGATAAAATATGATAAAAAATAAATCTTGAATGAATGAAATGAATGAATCTTTGAGAAGTCATATTGTCTGGAATTACATATTGTTGAAAGTCACATATCGTTGTAAGTGAAAGCCATACTTGATCAGTGTTTGTTTTTGAATTTGTGGAGATTTGGAATTAAAAAAAATAATTGAAATTTTTCAATCTGTCTAAAAATTGTAAATTTATTATTGCCTGCTGCAGGTTCTCAATAGTCTCATATTTTCTTTTCTGTCAAGTCTGTAAAAAGGCTCAAATAATAGTATATTATGCAACGATCATGTAATGATGGTTATTAAGACACGAGCATTAGCCGGGATACGAAACGAGCCGAAGGCGAGTTTTGTATGGTATATGCGAGTGTATTGATAACCATTACATGAGAGTTGCATACGCTATTTTTTCTAAACCCGATAAATAATGAAAAACTATAAATATTATATTTGTATTGAACACATTTAATTTACAGTAATTAACTCATATTTAAAAAAAAAAACAGAAACTTAATGGTATTATCATGGATATATGAAAACTATAAAGATTCTAATTATATTTATATTGAATATAACAACTGTAATTAATCCGATCTTTTAAAAATATTGGAGTCGATGGTATTCCTTCTATATCGCTGTTTTCAGACATTTTGATAATATAGGTAGGTAATATGAAAACTGATTTTGACAAATAAAGCCATTAGTTACTTAGGTTAGAATCTAGGACAAACAAAGGAACAGAATACTTGATTAAAAAATTATGGGTTTCTATTGGTTGATAATCTGTATCGTTATGAAAAATCTGTATCATAATGGATATCATTATGAAACGGATTATGGTTATATAAGTGTATTGTTAGAGTACGGGTGTAGAAAAATAATTATATGGAATACAGCCAAGAATAGTAGAAAGGCTCTTTAAAAAGAAATTTTATGTCGGCAAGCTGGCTATCCATTTCAATATTAATTACTAAGGTCCTACTTCTTCTGAATGGCTGAAAATGGCCGAATCTTATATTGAAAATTGTTCATGTTTCACAACATTGGCTGAATAAAGTAATGAACAGTTATCGAATATTACATTGAAATTAAAATAGAATATTTATACATGTTATATTTTGGAAGTTTATGATATACATAACACAAATTTTGTAAATAATAACATAAAAATGAGGAAGGATAATAACTGGCGTCCTCCAGATAGCGATTGTTGGTGATTGTTGTCCAGCCATCCCTTCGAAAGAAGACTTTTCGAGGAATATAATGGCCGTGATGCCCTGTTGGAAACGTAATAGGTACTTAGGTTCTACTTCTGAAATCGCTTTCCAAGAAAAGGATCAGAACCAGGAGTCTCTTGACTCTTGGAGGATCTGCAACACCTGTAACCAACTAGGTGTTGATGAATTTTCAGAAAAAATCTGGATTCATTTTTGGACACAGCTAGGCTATACAAAAATTGCGATAAAACAACGAACTTCCACGATAACGCAAGGCCGGATTTGAGGATTCCTTCGATTATATCTAGGAATATAGGAGAAACGCAGGCTTAGGGAGTCAGTGCAGTGGTGTCCTCCTCGAAGACAACAACGTTGAAGATCAGGGTTGATGTAATTACCAATGTATTTGACATTTGGCGACAGCCAACACATTGAAGGAGCCCCTGCTGCGCCGGTGGGTAACTTCCTCGTTGTGTCAGGATAGACCTTTATAATTCCAACGTACTCTGGAAACTGGCAAGTTCCAGAGCGGGCTCGAGAAAATGGAGGTGTTTATTGCTTATTTAAAAAAACCGGATTTAAATCAACACTTACGGTACACATCGAATTCTTTTGGGAAGCAAAGTTTTGTTTTCTTCCCAAGTAGTGGATTCGAAAACATAGGCAACGACTTCATCTGCTCACAATGCCGACGTTACCAATATTCAAGAAATTATTCGTAAATTATGAAAGTCCTTGCATTCAGGTTCAATATTTCTGTATTCTGTTTCTTCGATATACAAATTCGACATTAATATGTTCCTAGAAGTAGGGAATTTTTGACCAACTTGTCCTTACGCAGATTGAACTGAACTGCCACTATGACCCCTGGAGTTGAGTGCCCTGAGATAGAGGTTTCTCCACATGGTTGATGCTTGCAAATTCAGAATCTCATCTATTAACCCCCGTTCATTTCCGAGCGGTTCTTAACCTGCTGCTCTGATCTCTTGCGGTTTGAAGTCAACCTCTTAACTTCTGGCGCGCCAATTCCTCGTTATCTGTTGTTGGGTGATCTCCGGACTCTATTGTGTATAGTGTTTGCGTAGTGGTCTCTAGTGCCTGACTGGTGACGGGTGGTAATTTTGTATGTTTGTATCTGGGGTTTGAGTTTCTTTATGCCTAGCGGTGCCGCCGGATGGCAACTCTCGGAGGTGATCTTTGGTTTTGTTTCGTCGGAATCTGGGGTCGACTGTACAGTGCCTCATACAGATCACGCAGCATTGGGTTAGGGGGTGTCTGGATTCGTTCAAATATGTTCTGGGCGTGGTTTCTCAGGACATTTACGTACTGAGTGCTAAGATCCAGGTCCTGATCGATGTATCGGTTGTGTGTATCTAGGAGCGTTTATGCTTATCGGCAGGCATATATTCGTAAAGCTATAGATTTGGAGTCCGTATGTTTCTGCCCTCTAGGTAGTGGATGTGTACAGAATGATGTGGAATAGCACTGTCTTGATTAGGAGCATTTTCACTTGGAACTCTATGGTACTTCTGCGTCCAATTTAGCACCCTTCGTCAGCCCAGGCTTTTTTGTGATCTGAATGTTAGTTTCCTGTCCAAGATGACACCCAAATGTACGTTTTGTACGTCCAACGAATCTCCTGCCGGTTGAAGGTGACGTGTTCTTTCAGTTGTATCTTCCTCCGGGTGAGAAATATCGCCAAACACTTGACAGGATTGAGGCTAATCTTCCAGGGGTTGCAAACTTCTCTAAACTGTCCACATATTGTTACATGCATCCTGTGACTAGCCGGTGCTTAGTGGATCTGGCAAGCAGAGGCAAATTTAACGTATAACCAAGGTCAAGTTTGGGCACATTTATCATGTATACCGAGAAGGGGTGAGGCGACAGAACTCTACTTTGTAGGAATCCTGTTTTCAGAAGTCGCTGGTGGTGGAGACTTATTGTCCTACTTCGCCTTGACATCGTCTGTTGGCTAATAACTAGTTGAATAATTTCATCATTGTTTGATAGGTAGAATTTGGAACCTCTGGCATAAACTGAATCTGTTGGAAAGCATTTTTTCTATATCAGAACAAAAATATTGCCCGACGGTATTTTTCGTTCTGTAGTATTTGCTGGTGTGGGAAAAGTGTTTTTAATAGACCCAACACAAGTCCGTCGTGCCAGACGTATTGGAGACATCTAGGAATATCGTTCCTGGGTATTACCTTTGTTACCATCCGAAGATGTAGGATTTAGGAGTCGAGCGTTGTAACTTCGTAGTCATCTGATAATCTTCGACCTGTTTCTCGATATTTTCCATTTCGTTGGTAAAAGGAACATTATTCCCTCTACATTGTCGTTCAAAAGAGTATAGACGATACCCTGTCTCCGTGTATTGGGGGGGATGGTTTTCGCCATTCAAATTTCTGGTTTCAAACCAACTTTCAGTGCATTATTTATATTCAATAACAATAACATTGAAATGGGTATATTTTTAGGAAAAATATGTTTTTTTGGGAGAAAGCCTTTTGTCTTTCATTTCATCCTTATATAAAACATTGTGGAAAACTTCCAAAGACGGAAGAAAGCAATTTGGTTGAAAATAGTATGTAGATGTAGATCATGCATAGAAGTTACTTTTAGACAGAAATATTGAAATATACCCCTTTCAATTAAACAAGATTCCTAAAGCTGGGGAGTCAGATAAGCATACGTACCGTCAATGTGACATGTGCCAAAGTACTGCCAGCGTGACATGTGTAGATTTTTTTGTCATCTTCGACATAAAGTCCTAATGTTATGAATCGTCTTGTAATGTTATCCAGACAGGCACGGTGAGGTAATAAGACAAGTGTCTCAATCCAAATCTCCGCCATTGAGTATAATAGTGTTCTATGCGAGTGGAATTTTACATCGTAACTCTTTCATGTATATATATAATATTGTCTAGCGTTTCTATGAATGATAGATGATCCAAGATAAAGAAGTTTTCCACATTTTTTTGTATTAGGACGCAGGAGTGAAAAAAGCTAATTTCTCAAAAAACAATAACATATAATGACAAATGACACATTCTGTTATCGTTTTCATGAGCAGTTGAGATTCTGCTACACTTGTATCGGAATCGTAATGTGAGCAGCACACTTGCGTTTTACTGAAGGAACAGTAAGAATTTCACTGTCCCTGAAAAGATACCGATATACAATTGTCTTAGGTAATTAGGAAGAATATCTAAGAATGATGGCGCTCCTCAAACGATAAACAGCTGATCGGAATAACTGAATATTTAACATGAGTTTTCGTTTTCTCGTCGGGGTGAGTGGACGTGTTGCGGTTGTTCTCATCGTCGAAGGAACGGAAGCTCACGCCGTCACTCTTACAAGCAAACGATACATATATTTGTGTAGTGATATAACGAAAACAAAGAAAACACTTCTTTAAAATATTAGAACTATATCACCCTTCTCGACTCGTTTCACCAAACAAGTTGGCGTCAACAGAAGTTGACGTTTTTGTCAATTAACACTATAAAAAAATTAAAATTGAGGTGGAGATTAAACGGAAATCACTCAAACTCTAAATTAAGAGGTACATATATTAAGTGGTATCCTGATAAGTGGATGTGCAGCTATCCTTTTGTTCCATATTAAACTGCATGTAACAAACAGACACAAGTAACCGGAGAATGAATAATGTTACGTTTTTCCCCGTGGGTTGACCACTTTGAATACAACAAACACTTCAACTAAAACTTCAACTATTATTTGAATGTCTATATCGCCTTACTAGATCGCTTCGCGTACCGCACTGTAATTTCCACTTGACTGTGTCGATATTCTCGTGGCTAGCGTTTATATATCGTAATCGAATGCGCTAGAAAATTTCGCCGAAATTTCATCGAAATAGGTTTCATCATTCTCGCTACACATAGAGCGGCAGCGAACATCGTACATTTGCGCACTCTTAGCTACGTCACGATTGGTTTATTGCTACCAGTGGCGGCCGGCGTTATTTTCTTTAGGGCATAATTTACAACAAGAAGAAATATTATTTTAATAAAAATGTCGTTTACAGTTACGAATTATCAAAATCTGAGTTCAATAAAAAATCGATAATTTCTGATACTGCAATTCTTTAGATGGTTGCTTCCAGTCTAAAAAATTGAAAGTATATTTGAGTTTTTTGGGTGCTGATCCATATGCGCCTGATATAACTGCCCCTTATCTTTAGATGATGTTGGAGAAGGAATAGCCAATGCAACTCTGGAAATATTTTCAACACACTGTGTAGAGTAACAGTTTTAAGTGATTAATTTGCAGAGGTATAAATTCTCTAGTGATTTGTTCAAGATTCAAGGATTGAGAAAGGTAATAAAAGATATCCCATACATATGTTCCCGAACAATCGAAGTGAAATTGTATTATTTTCTGGTACTAAGTTGAAGAACGTTAAAAGGCACGTATTCCACGTAACAAAAATGGGCATGCTATGTTATTATGAAGGAGATTGTATAAGGATGCTAGTATCAGAGTCAAAAAATCAACGTCTTGTTCGAGATTGAAGATAAAAATTTCAATTTTCTTTCTGAACTCTGACAGACAGGTGAAATAAATTTAAAAAATTTGTTTTTCCATTTGGGTTACTTCCTACAAAAGCAGCTAGCGGGTCTGTACCAAGTGATTCTTGAACAGATCACTCGAAAATTGTAACGTTGTAAGTAGGCTAGTTGAAACTTTTTCTAAGGTTGAATAGTTAACATAATACTCACTTCCAAACTAGCTTTAGTATATATCTGTATTTTCAGATTTATATTGTAACATGCGCGCTTTGGTTGTGTCGACATGGGTCTTTATAAATTTAGTCTTTTTTGGCATGTGTGGCTACATGTACCTTCTCTGGTCACAATACTGGATGTACTTGGAACGTCAGACGGAAAAAACAACATCCACGTATGACCAACAGATTTATTTCTACAATAGGGGTTATTTACCCAATAGCACGTGAGTTTATTATGAAATCCAAGAAATAACAGCTTTCATTAGTAAATAAAAATGTCAATCCGAGTTTAATCACTGAATCTTTCAGCATCACCGCTTCTGAGCCAAAGATGAGAATAAAACATTCAATCATCAAAGAAAACTCTACAATAACCTTAATTAAGAATAGTAAACCTCGTTTTCCGAACCTCCAGGCCAAGGATTTTGAACTAGACTCGAAGCGATATTTCTGCTGGAAGAATGATAGCCTCAGCGACTGTGATAAAAAAACGTCCGAATTCAAAGAAAATCTAATGAAGGAACTGAGGAAAGTATTCACCGACGAAAGTAATGTTTTAAGGGTTGGACCAGAAAACCCATATAACGTGAATTATAAGGGTGTCAGAGGAAATTTCATGGACAAATCGCCGCAAGAAGTTTTGTACAAGTTGAAAGAAACAACGTTGAGGACTTTGAGGAGGAGCGACGTCGGGAATCATCCCCTGCGAGACTTTATTCCGAAACGAGCTCTTTTTGAAAACAAACGATTCAACAGTTGCGCCATAGTAGCAAGCGCGGGGGCACTGAAAGATTCTAATCTGGGACTGCTAATAGGTGAGAAACATTTATATGCGAAGGCTATTGTTGATGATTTCCAATCCCCATGCCTTTTTACCGTGGTTATACCTGCCCAAGAGTTCACTAACAATATAGCAGAATTGAATAGAACTGACCAATACCTGATGAAAATCCATAATAAAACTCATTAATATAGTTTATTGTATGATTTTCCCTAATATAAAATGTTTTATAAAAACCGCGACAAGTGTTTCGCTATACAATAGCGCAATAGCGCTTGAGAAAGCTATTGTATAGCGAGAATCATACAATAAACTGTATTAATGAGTTTTAATGTAGCAGAACTTCTGCGGAAATAATGCCCATTAGTTTGGTAATTTTAAAAAGTTCGCAATTTCTTCTGGCATTTTCCCAAATTTATGGATAACGAGCTGATGTTTGTAAGCCTCACCATTAGTGTATTGAAAAAATAGGTTATCAGCCTGATGGTCGACTATCTTCGTATTATCTGTATAAATATCTACAATGAATGAGCGTAATTTTTTTGTCTTCGTGTCAGGAAGAGTAATAAATATTTTTTTCCTATATCTGCAATGTAATCTCACTCCGTTTGGTACAGCTCATCACTTCTACATACTCCCGCTATGCCAAAAATAAAAGCAATCTGACATAAAAAACATTGTTTACTTAAAAATAAATAATCAATTCAATATAATCAAATATATCATTCTAAACTCTTATTTTTGTAAGATGTACAGTGTGTAAAAGTCAAATGGAATAAATTCATTATTTCGGTTACGATACATATTTTAACAAAATCCCGAAACACGTCAAGTTTAAAACATAATTTGATATAATTCAACGGAAAAATGCCACCTCTACCTTCAACCTCTGTCGGATGACAGGTACAATCCCTAATTTTTCAAATGGGAAATATAGGCTTGTGATATATCGTTTGAAAGTTCTCTTCATTCTCTATTAAAAAATGTTATCGCTTTCAAGTTTATTGCAACAATTAAGTTAAAATAAATTAAAATCATGTGGTTACCGAAATTCGATAAAATAAATTCGAAACTCATTGGAACATACCCACAAAACTTATTTCATGTTGAAGTATTGATAATAACAAAGTAAGCAAAAACTATAGCAATGTTCTTTTTAGATGGTATCCTTTAAAAAACTGTAAATAATTTTCGTGGCAACGTTAGTTTAAACGCCTTGTCAACTTGTTTTGTATATTACAACATTGGTTGTCAGTATTTCAATTTGAGTTTGAAGTTCGTTAACTTCAAGCCTGTTAAATGGTTAGATTAATGAAAATGCATAAAATAACAGTTTTACAAATGATTGGTTATGGAGATAAAACCCGAACACAATAGGAAGTAGCTCGCCTATTTCATGAGAAATTTCCTAATTTACCGCCCATATCGCAAGAAACAGTAATCAAAATAAAGAAGAAGTTTCGCGAGCTTGGTCATGTGGGGCAGATAAACTCAAATTAGATGTGATGCTTGAGTTCGAGTAAAACCCACATACATCAAGTAGACAGGCATCCACTACATTCAATCTTAGCCATGCATCGATAGTAAACATATTAAAAAAAAATAAAATGCATTCCTATAAAATGATACGCATTCAGGAGCTCATGGAAGACGATTTTGATAGAATTCATTTGTCAGCAAAGATGGACATGTTGGATAACAATATCATCCAATCAGAAGACGTTATATTTTCTGACGAGTGTTCTTTGTCTCTTAACGGTCATGCGAATCGGCAAAATTACCGCTACTGCTCAACGGAAAATCCTTACTGGATGAGAGAAGAACACACGATATACCCTCAAAAGGTTAATATTTGGGCAGGGATTGTAAGAAACCATATCATTGTTGCCTTTTTCATTGAGGGCAACTAGAATGGCGATAATTATTTCAAAATGGCACTACTTCAAAATGAAGTCATTCCAAGTTTAACAAATTCATATCCTGATCCAGGAAACCCTCAAGTTCCAGTGGAGCACCACCACATTACCAAAATAATGTCCGGTAATACCTCGATACAACATTTCCCAATCGGTGGAGAGGGAAGCGAGGATCGATTCAATATCCAGCGCGATCACCTGATATTCATCATTAGATTTTTTTAAGGGGATGTGTAAAGAGCAATGTGTACAAAACTAAACCTTCAGATTTGAATGACTCAAAAGAACGATTAACGCTTCGTTAACTTCGTTAACATACATCGTTCTTTTTTGTATTCTACATTTCATTATGTTTTGCATTACATTCTAGTTTTTGAGTGTATTTTATCAAATTTTGGTAACCACATGATTTATTTTATCTCAATTGTTGCGATAAAATTAAAAGCGATAACATTTTTGGTCATTCAAAGGGGGTTGAAGGTAGGGGTGGCATTTTTACGTTGAAGAATGTCAAATTATAATTTTTAAAAAATATGCGCAGTAACCGAAATAATGAATTTATTTACACACTGTATATTATCTAGAGCTTCCAGACTAAATTGCTGAATTTGTGATTTCTGTGGTACTTGGGATCTGTCTGATGTTTAATTGTCTTTTGTATACACGTTTTATTGCTTTTGTATAATTGATATTTCAGCTAATCATTCTGATTTTATTCACTTGAGAATAATTTATTACTCTGCTGCCTGAGGAAATAGATGAAGCAATATCACTGAAACGTGGCCATGGATCCATTTTATCCTTCCAACCGGGAAAGCACTGAATTCGTGGTTTTGTGTTTCATCGAAATATTTTTAGGTCATTGTCGTTCATTTTGCTAATAATAATAATAATTTATTAGTTCTTTAGATTATGTCTAGCATAATATAGAACAAGTCAGCATAGTACAGTATCAGTATGAGATAAATTAATATTAAAAACATTTCACTCAAATTGTAGTCAATATATCTAATTATTATAGTTATTGATGTAACTAAATGTATGACAGTGTGTAAAAGGACTCAATATAATANAATACTCAGAAATCCTCGCAGTGTGTTTATAACGTTATAGAATTTCCTGGTTGATTATTAGTTATGACACAAATCGTTCTAGACTCGCACGACCTGGTGATGAGGTTCAACAACGCCCCGACTCAAGGCTTCGAAGATGACGTCGGCAAAAAAACGACCATCCGTCTTCTGAACTCCCAAGTCGTCACTAAACCCGAGTTCAATTTTCTCAAATCCAGTCTCTACAAAAACGTCACCGTGATTGCGTGGGATCCCAGCAATTATTCCTCTTCGATAGGCAGTTGGCTGGAAAACCCGGAATTCAATCTTTTTCCCAACTATATGGCGTTTCGGAAAAACGATCCCAAGTCCAGAGTTTTTCTCTTGAACCCGCAGTCGATTTGGGATTTGTGGGATTTTCTGCAAGATAACTCGCCAAGTAGGTTGAGGCGGAATCCTCCATCGTCCGGATTTTTAGGTAAGTGTGTTTGTCCATTGAAATACTTCGACTTCGGATAAATCGAATAATAAACCAAGTGATTTTGATTAATGAATTAAGAACATCTGATCATAAAATGCGAAATTTTGATTTGCAATATTTTTTGTTTCTGGTTTATTTTTTATGCTGTGACGTCACATAAATATGTATATATGTATACAAGTGGTATCTCTATATAAGAACGTAGTATTTCTCAGTAAGTTGGGCCCATCAATCATTTCAGAAAAAAAAGCAACCATCGGCTATCAGGCACAGTAGAATAAATATGTATTGAGATAGAAAGGGAAAAGAAGGCATTTTTTACTCTTCAGTTTCAAC